GGGTACTGATGGTAAAGCACGTCATAAACAGGGTCAACGTTGACGACGGAGGAGATCGGCGAGGCGGGATGCGGAGCCTACCTGCCATAGAGCTTGACGGCGCGGTTGGTGTTTGGTACTGTCGGGTTGCTATTGGCAGTATATATATGTACGAGCAAGCAGGGGAGAATTCCAGCACATTTCAACTTCCTCCGAAGCCAGGCCTGCGCAGAGCCTATACACATTCATCAACAACGGACATCCCCATACGGCTGCACCACACATGGACAGCGAGACGCATTCCGTCCCCTGTAGAGTGGGCATTCCTGTTTATGCTGTCTTCATAACTCATCACTCCTGGTTCCAAGCAAACATCGGAAGCATGCCGTGCGCCGTAGAGACAACCGTCTCTGCATGCAGAACGATAAGCCCACCTTCTGATACGCAGTCATACCCGGTGCCATGGTCCCCACGTTGTAGTCCTCCCGTTTGCCCTTCGTTCACGACCCCTCGGTGTGCATCCGGCCCCGCAGATGTTACTTATTCTTTTCATCGCTTGCGATCACTAGGGCCACAGTTAGCAACGCATCAAGACACCAAAGACAGCATGTTCACTCACGTGCTGAGCCTCCTGCTAAGCTGCTGCAGCTTCTTGTCGTTGGCTGCATCCTCGGCAGCCTTCTCGAGATTCTGCCGCCTCTCTTCCTCCTGATGCCTGGCGACCTCATCGTGGGTCGGCGGCAGCCTCTCGTTCTGGATATCGACCTTCCTCGCGTCCTCGAACGTGCTGATAGCGTTCTTGATGCCTTCGGCACCCAACATGAGCGTGCCGGCAGGCAGACGTCCGCCAGAGACCGTCTTGAGCTCCGTGACACGTTCAGACTCCTCGCGCAGAACCTGGAAGACGCGCGACAGACGCCCGATGGCCAGGATCTTGTTCTTGATCGCGCGCCTCTTGAACTCGATCGAGTCGGGGTCCATGTTGACGGCGGCGGCCGAGGACAGGGGAGGTGAGACGGGACCCGGCGAGGTGGATGATGGCGTGGCATCTTCTTTGAGCTCCTCCTCAGAGCACGTGCTGAGAATGGCAATGAGCATGTCGGTGATCTTCTCACCGACGAAGGGCAGCGACCAGGTGAAGACATCCATAAAGTTGGGGAGCCAGTAGGGGTGAGGCGTGCAGTTGAACTGGCGAATGTTCATAACATTGTTCTCGTACTTGAGAACGGCAGCCTTGTTGTTGTAAACGTCCAGGTAGTTGGGCGCCGAGAAGATGGTCATGACACTGGGGAAACCAGTGGTGCGTGTCTTGCGGTACATGCGGTAGCCTGCATCCTGGGCCTCGTGCGCACGAATGACGGATAGCAGGTTATTCTTCTCGAGGAACGCGCAGGCGGCGGGGTAGGAGAAGAAGTAGGAGCAGCCTCGGACGTTATTGTGCAGGAAGTAATCGCTCGTCTTCTCCTGTCCAAAGTCTTCGAGCGGATCAGCCCACAGAATGTCGCACATGAGGCCTTGTGTAGGGGGTTCACGGAAACGGTCAATCTGCGACGTGTCAATATGCGAGGGCTAGCAGACCGACACTCGCTTCAACGAGCCAGGGGAGAGGCTGGGACCTACGGTTCGCAGGTCATCGAGCGTGTGCAGCTCGGGGCTCAGACCACCGTGGATGCAGAGGAACTGCTTGTTCATGACAGCGGCCAAGGGGAGGGAGCAGAACGACTCCATGCAGGCCTCGTAGACGGCCTCGGAGTACTTGTGCTTGCACTCGAGCTTGAAGGTGAAGTAGTCTGTCAGGTGGCGACACTCGTGATTACCGCGCAGCAGCCACAGCGAGTTGGGATAGTGGATCTTGAGGCACCAGAGGTACAGGACACACTCGATGCTGAAGTAGCCCCTGTCGACGTAGTCACCGAGGAAGAGGTAGCGGGTCTCGGCGGGGTCGCCGCCGACTTCAAAGAGCTTCATGAGATCGTAGTACTGGCCGTGGACGTCACCGCAGACGGTAATGGGCGCATCCATCTCGAGCAGGTTGGGCTCGGCGCGAAGAACCTCTGTGCCCTTCTTGAGGATCCATAGAGCCTGCTCCTCGGTCAAGCGACCCTCGCGATAGAAGTGCTGCTTGAGGAAGTTAATGTCGGGCTTGCTGTGGGTTTCGTCGTGGAAGAACTGCTCGTCCGTGGGCTTCTGCATGGCGGGGGCCTGCACATCTATTGGGACGAGTTAGCGAGTCGGTCGCGCAAGTATGATCATGACAATACAAGAGGGGCAGGCAAGAGGGGCAGGAAGGCGGGAGGGGGAGAAGTAGTAAGAGCAGAACAAGGACAGAGCATCAATTCAGTCGTGCTTACCCTTGCAGACACGCTCCATGGTGTTCACCTGGGTGCCATCTTCCATGGTATGGATGGTGAAGTCGATCTCGGGCAGGGGCTTCTTCTCGCGAATGGCACGGATGGCATTATCGACCTGCTGGTTGCGAGAGGCATCGGCGCCGGTAGGCGTGCCGGGATTGTCTGTGTCCATGGCGGGTGGTTTGGGGTGGCGGAGGAGGGGTTTGCCTGGTCGGGTGCAGAAGGCTCCTCGAGAAGCTGGCGAACAGGAGGGGCGCGGTGAGCGGCAGTCCAGAGGGAATACCAGCGCCGAGTCCAAAGTCGAGTCGACGTGGGTCTAGGCAAGGTGAATCAAGTTCGCAATGGCGTCAAGCGAAGGAGAGAGAGACGGGATTTGAAAGGTCGCGTGGTTGGGCACGGGCGGGCGAAATTGAGAGCGGCGGGCGAACCAAGGCAGGGAGGTACCGGCGTAGGTGTAGGTGTAGGTGTAGGTGTGATAGGGCTGCGATGGGGAGGAGGCTCGAGGTGACGGGTTCGAGTTGCAGGTCGGGTTCAAGAGGCCGCCACAGGAGGGGGGCGAGGAACTTGGGGCGAGTAACTTTGGCTGGAGCGCGGACCAGGGGACCACCAAAAGACGAGAAGGCAAGGTCAGCAAGCACTATCTGTGCTGGCAGTGCTGAAGTGCCGCCTACCTAACTTACCTAGGTACCTATTCACCTAATAAGGTACCTAGCTGCTGCTGCTGCTGCTGCTGACGATGGTGGGCTTGGAGGGGCCGGGGTAGCAAACAGACGAGCACGAGGAGGCGAGGCGAGACCAGTGGCAGGAGCAAAAAGAGGGGCAGGAAGGGGAGGGGGTGGGCAAGAGGAAGGGGGCACGCACGAAGCCAAAGGGGGGCAAAGAGAGTGAGGGTCCAGGGTCAGGAGAAACAAGGTGAGCCCGGTGGGTAACGGTACGAAGGTACGAGGGTACGTGCGTACCTGCTCCGACGACTGTGGCTTGGATTTGTGCAACCCCCATTTCGTCATGGGCGCTTGGTCTACCTACCTAGGTACCTCTAGTATCCATAGCCATCTGCCTGGAGATGAGTGATGCTCTCTCTTTAGGTCCGACTCAAATGCCCAACCACTACTCGATAAAGAGACTCTCAACGGAGAGACTGAGAGAGCCGGTGGACTGAAAAGGCAGGCAATGTCGATTCCGTTCATCATGTCATCGCATTGTGGCTCCATAATGGGCTAGCTGCCAGCAACGAGCCTCGGGGATCGGGGATTGCGATCTCCACGCAAGGCTCTCCAGCCTGTGAGCAACATGTGAAATTCTACGCTTCTCAGGTCTCTTGAATGACCACCATCTGTGCATCTTCCAACATGCAAGTCATTTTCAGACCCTTCTCACTATCACCTCCTACAGTTTTTGAGGCAAGCACATCGTGTCATTGCCCCGTGTATCTTTCTCGTATACAAGCCAATGGCCCTAATGATCGACAGAGGGTTAGGGTCCGCCGTGTCCAACTGTCTGCCACAAGAGAATGGGAGGTCTTCTCTCACCCTCCAGGTATTTTGTAGAGATGGCACAAGCAACTAACTCTGTCTTGCTACTGATGCCAGCATCGAGTGCACATACAAATTCGGCAGACAGCATTGCACACATCGTCCTGCGACCCAAACTCACATGTTGTGCCGTGTCTCGAGTTGCATAATCAAACCCTGGCACAAACTACCTCAAGTCCAATTGACTTCAATTTGTTGACCAGCCCAAATACCCACAATGTGACATGTCTAGGTAGGTGATACCTGCACATTGCCTTGCGGGTGCTGTGGCTGGCCTGGCTGGCTGTTATCGACGAGGCTCTGTTGTGGCTGAGGGTGTGAGAGGAGCGGCCGCGGCCTGTTCTTCCTTCGTATTGCATCACCATCCATCCATCTACCTATTCGCAAGTGCCCCTACTCATGCCGCAGGCCTCTTGGAAACACGAGCATGTTTAGCTTCAGAATCCTACCCAGATTCAATTTCTATTCAAGTCAATTAGAATCCGGCTATCTACATAGCTTGGAAACGCATCTGCTGCGAAGCTGAATGTCCTCCCCCTCCCAATGCACCTACGCCGGCGAGTTTACAGTGGACAGCATCTACCCGACGACTTGGCTCAGGACATCCTCACGAGGGAAGTTGGTATTTCTCCACCTCGAGATGAAGTCATCTCGGTTGACTAAACACCAGGTTGGTTAATGTGACATCAGGACGTGGCTGAGGCCGGCATGGGGAACTCACTATATGCACCGCACATGCGTCTCCGACCCTCAAACGCGCTTCTTCCATGCATGACCCGCCAGTTGTCGAAGACTGCAATCTTTTCGTCAGCTCTGATTTCTGGGCAAGGGAAGTTGGTCTCACGCACTCAGCAAATGGCCAGGGTTCAACTGCACCCAGTACTCGACCGCAGGTCTCCGAAGGATGGCATCCCACTTGCGTGCCGCAGCATACCATTCCGCCGGCGAGTAGCCCTCTCCGAAAGGCACGACTCCACGGTCGTCATTGTTCCACCTAACGCGGGCAAGCTTGCCGGTCGTCTCGTCCAGTTCTAGCACGGGGTACCGCTTGTTGGGTGCGATGGTGATGCCCTCGTTACCGCTGGCGTGCCATGGCAACTTCACCTTGGACAAGATCTCATACGCCTGGGGGTCCTCTTCGAGAAGAATGCTGGCGGCGTAGAAACCGTCCACCAACAGCGATTTGCCGCCGAGCTCGCCTGCCGGAGCGCCTGGAGGTGCCTCATGAGACAGCATATGGAAGGCTTGAAGGCCAGCTGGGTCGCTGAAGTACGTCGTGTCCGTGTGGGCGGGCAGGGCGAGGTTGGTATAGGCTGTGTCGGCGTGGGCCATGTCAGGGATGAAGTCATAAAACCCGCCATAGTGAGTCTCCCGGATGAAGGCAATCTTCTCGAGCGCTTCTTGCGTCGCATCGGGGGTATCAAACGGCGTGCCACTGACGAACACGAAGCCGTTCTCGCGCTGTCTGGGGTCAACATGGTGCCGTGACGTGACTTGCACGCAAAAACTCACGATCAGATTCGTCAACCTGGCGATTCCGGACTCATTATTGGGCGTCATGAGTTCCTGGTAACTGACGACAGGACGATCGATATCTATATCGGCGCCCCACAGGCGCTGTCTAGAGGCTGTCAGCAATTGGAGAAAAATAGTCACGGAGACCTGATAAGGCAAACAACTCACTCGACATCCTCAGAGCTACGATGATCGTTCTTCAAGTAGTGCTTGATGAACTTCCAAGGATAAAAGCTCTGGTGCCCGTCTCCTCTCCCTGCAAACCGTTAGGCCTGGAAAGGATACAGCAAATGCATGGTCAGTCTAATTTGATTCTCACACTTGATGCTGAGGCCTTCAGCTCCAGGCGTCACCTTGTCAGGCCGGATTGTTTCGCTGATCTGAATATGGGTATGAATCAGCACACCCGAACCAATTGGCATGCGGTAGAACTGACTGCAAAAGTCTCAAAGTTGCGTTGCATCGTTTGTTGGTTGACGCATTTCTCACAGCGACAGTTATCTCTGCGTCCAAACGTTAGGACCGAAGTTTGCACCGCGTCACTGTTCATCCCCTGACATGGTCAAACATACCTCAGCCAAAAATGCGGCCTAGGAAGAATCAGGTCAGCAGACAGCCTGCATCGGGTGTAACAGGAGAGAGGGGCCTGCGACCTACAAGGTCTCTCTCTTCACATGTTCGCCTTGCAAGTTTCGAACACGAAGACCGTCGGGACGCAGCTGGACATCGTAATGGGTAGCGTCTGTTGGGTGAGCTGTCGTTGACGAGAGTCTGGCAATGTATGCAGGTCGAGCTACACTGCGCAGTGTCAAGGGACGCACAACGGCTCTGCATCTATTGTCAGTCAATGCAACAATCGTGCTAGACTGTCTTAACTTACCCCGCGAGCGTCTTGGCTGTTCTGATCGAGGGAAGCATGACGAGCATGAAGGCAAGATCACGAGGTTATCAATCATAATGAAGCAAAAGAGAGGAAGAAGACCAGCGCCACCAAGCTACTTGATAACAGCTCTCCCCGCAATGGAATGGCCCGATCGGATCATCGGACTACTGGGCTTTGGGCTTTTGGCTCTGATCCGGGGGCATTCGACCAAGACCAGCTTGCGGGTCCGCATCGCCCCGGCCGCCTGTTAGCGGCCATTTTAGGCCTCGGCAACGCCCTTTTCTTGTGTCTATTAACCTCCGTCGTGCCTCTAGCCCTTGTTGCTCTTCACAGCGTCGTCGAGTTCGAAGGGCACGGCTCGTCTCGAAGCTCGTCATGTCTTCATGCACCTCGCTTGCAAAAGTCGAGGCAGACTCGCAGGCAGATCGGTTGGCCGTTAATCGCGTCCCTGCCAAGGCGGCGTCGCCTCGTCAAATGCCAGACAATTAGACGCCGTGACACGCTGGTCGTGCATGCTGCATTGGCTTTGCAAACCGCATCATGGTCGATTCTACGCGACCGCTTACTGACCCAATGGATAGTGGCTTCTAGCCGCCCAAGGTCGCGACACCATGATGCAGCTCAATAGAAGTTTGATCCAGAGTGTCGGGACCAACCGCTGCCCTCGACAGACTTGTTTCCTGACCAAGCTGCTGGCCTGAGTTGGACCTTTGATGGAGCCGGACCGGCTGAAGGCTCACCAGGGCCGCTTGACAAAATGCTCAAGAGGACTGCCCTGCCATCGATGAGTATGCTTAATTTGTGTTCCTGTCTCTGGCATTTTGTATCTTCTGTTATGCTTCCACTCGCTTTTTCTTGTCGATACCCCATGGTCAGGGCACCATGCCGTCTTCAACACTCTCAAGCAGCGTCAGTCTGTTCTTCTGGATTACGCTGCATGGTGCTTTAGCATTCCGAATTGACATCAAACACATCAGATCGCGCGAGCATGCTGTTTCACAATGTCCGTTCGACACTTACAAGCCATGCGGGAACGGACTTGAAGGCGACATGTGTTGCGACAGCGATTCAACCTGCCTTGTCACAGCGGCGAACACAACCGGCATTTGCTGCCCTAGAGGGAGCGACTGTACCGCCATTGCACCTCTTTCCTGCAACATCGACCTGCAGAACTGGAGAGTCTACCCGGACGCCACTGTGATGACCATGGCTCTCCACCAGAGCTTGCCAGCGTGCGATGACAAGTGCTGTCCTCATGGATTCGTCTGTGTCAGTGGGCCGGATGAACGGGGCTCGACTTGCCAGTTGGATCCTGATCAAAATGCATATACCACTCTGATGCCCAAGAAATCTGGAGTTCTGGAAGACTTGGCCGTTTCGGTGACATTCCCTGTCCAGAAACCGAAGTCAACGCTGGCGTCGTCTGGCTCTGTGTCGGCAACCCCATCCGCGGAGGGCACCATCACAGAACAAAGCAACCTCCCTTCTTCAGAGCCTGCTGTTGAAAGCAGCAGTACATTGTCAACGGCTCCTGCGGGAGAGCCTACCTCGGATCCCAGTAATTTAGGAGAAGAGCCACCCGAAAACTCTGGAAGCTCCAAGACCGCTGTAGTCATCGCCTGCGCGTTTATGGGAGCAGCTGTCTTCGCGTTGGCCATTCTCTTCTACTATTGCTGTGTCAGAAAACGAGGCCGGTACTCACGCCGAGGGCCGACTCCCCCACCAAAGCCCGATTCACACTTCATGTCATCAAAGTCCACGTCTTACACCTCGGTGGCCGAGATCGACGGCAAAACCTGCCTAGCTGAACTCGCGGCCCACCCCTGGAACTACCCCGAAGTACCAGGCGAATTGCTGCCAAATGGCTTTCCCTTTATACCCACACCTGAAGGACGCGCCGAGCTGCCGGACACGCCCGTCTTGAAGCCCGCCTCGGTGGTGCCTTTGAGTGTGTGGAACAAGCGAGATGTAGGGAGGTACGAACGACCAAAGTCACACAGAGGTCAGCTTGACAGTCCTTGAAGCTGGGACCTTTTGCTGCCAGCACAGCATATTGGAATTCTATTCCGTCTCATCCCAAAAATCTTCTCTCAAGGGATGCGATTGTTCATAGGTACCCGCCAAAGAACCAATGGTGTGTTATCAAAAGGCTTCCCAGAAGCTTCAAGAATGGTCTTGAATACGCAGCAAGGTCCCTGCCGCCGAGTGCAATACCTGGAACTACATGAAAGATCACAAAGGGTCGCGAGATCAAATCCATCAACCTCACATAAAGCTCTCCGCCATCTTGGACGTCACGGTCTGGCACACGAAGACGACCTTCCCCCCCTTCCGTCACACCACATCTCGACATGCCGCCATTTCACAGACCAGTCCGTGACCTTACCGATAAGGCACTTCCGACTCTCTTCTTCTTCGTGGTCGTGGCCTCTATCACCGTCGTTCTGACATATTCGAACGGTTTCAAAGAGCCTGTGCCTCGCGATGTCATAACAGGACTCACTGCGACGCTCGGTATACTTGTATTCCTCTTTGCCATCGGTCGCACATTGCTCTACTTCAAGGGACCCTTACCGCCTGAAGTAGACGTCGAACAAGTCTCGGTTGGAAGCCGCATTCATCCAACCATGGCACCGGTGAGTATCACCAACTCGACTGCACAGCAATCCAGCCAGAGACAAAGGGAAGCCGCCTTGGTCCACACGGCGCCATTCCCGGAGAGTGACACCATGATGGGTCAAATCACGCCAAACAGGGCAATGCCTGATCTACCCAACCAAGTTCCGTCACAAGAAAGCTCAAGACGTCGTCAAGCTTACGGTAACTTGACAATCTCTCCTGTCCGATATCGGTCAGAGCGCGAGATTGACCCCTATCACCCGTTCCCCGACATCCAGCGCGTGCAACCGTACCGAACACCAACACGTGTTCCGCCACGTGCGATGGCCGCTGGAGAAACAATTTCTGGGCAGAGCTGGAAACATAGTCGAACTTTTCATCAAGACGGGCAACTCAGCCGTGCTGATGCGCGAAGACGCTTGCCTTCATTCCGACTGGAGCCGAAGCATGAAAACATTGGTGTCAATAATGCAGTGCTCTCGGAGGAAGATTTAAGACTGCAGTTTCCCCTCCTGTCTTTCCTCATGGAGCATTCTCTGCTAGATGATGGTTCTGCCCCTGGGGGTCGAAAGTCGGACAAGCCTACCTGGCTGATATGTCGTGACCCCAACCATGGCAGCGTTTGCAGACAAAGAGCTTCGGTACTTATTAACAAGAGACATGATCCAAATTCGTCGGAAAACAAGCCGGCCCATGTTGAGGCAGATGATTGTGGTTCCGGTTTTAGTGCATCGAGCGAGGAGAGGGCATCGCCGCCTTCAGATACTCACACGCTCAGCACCACTCAGACTTCGGAGGGAGTGTATCCGGCGAACTATTGGGAGAACTGGGGTTGATGGTTCAGGCGGCCCACAAAGGCCTTGCTTGTTAAGAATACAATCATGATAAAACTTCTTAATCAACTGATATCCCTAGGTATATTTGCACCTGTCCATTTATCTTTGAAACTATCCATTGCTGCGACAGCATCATAAACATTTTGCAAAACTAGGAGTCGATGTGTGTATTACGTGAGCAAATATATAGAGATTAAAAAAACAATCACGCCCATCCTAGGCTCCTCCCATGATCCTGTTCCAGAAAGACGCGGGCGTCTTCTCAACCTCAGGCACAGTCGGCGTCAGGACAACAGTATCCCAGACCTCCTTGCCGTCGATAAACAAGCGATAGGTAAGGCTGCTGCGTGTTCCGCCCTCGTGACTCTCAATAGTGAGCGCGCCAAATTTGGCGTTGCCAGAGTGGATATACCTTTTTGACGGAGGGTTAGCAAACACTCGCAGGATTGCGCTCCGGGGGGATGTCCTACTTGATGGCAACATCTTCATCGTCATACTGCCTGTACGTCGGCACGGGGGAGGAGAACTGGTTCAGCGGGCTGCACGAGAATTCGTGCGGCGCAGCCGTCTCGGGCCAGCGACCGCCCTCCGGGGGCGGGAACTTTGTGGCGGCAAACTCGTGGCGGTCGCCGGACACGATGACGACGCCGACGCCCCGCGCCCCGGCATCCCACATGGCCTCGAGGACCTTTCGCCTCTCGGAGAGGAAGCCGCCCCACGTGTCCTTTGTGTTGACGGGCCAGTTCTTCGTCAGAGGGACCGAGGAGGCTACGATCTTCCACTGGACGCCCTTGGGCTCCGGGCGGTGGAGCCAGGCGAGGAAGTCCTCCAGCTGCTGGGCGCCGAGCATCGTCTTGTTCTCGCTCGCAAAGGCCTCGTAGTTGTCGGAGCGGTACGTTCGCGTGTCGAGGAGGAAGAAGCTGGCGGGTCCCTGGGTGAACTCATAGTAGGTTGCGCCGAGTCTCCGCGCGCGGGAGCTGCCTGCGACGAGAGCAGCGGGCGGGTTGGGCTTGGCGTGGTAGTGGTGCCAGGGGTCCACGGCGGCCGAGTACACACCGGTCGTGTTCGCCGACCAGTCGTTGGCGATTTCGTGGTCGTCCAGCACGTGGATCCAGCTGAGGTTCTGGGCGACGGGCGCCCAGTCGGGGGAGGCGTAGACGTGACGATATTTCTGCCTGTAGTCCTCGGCCGTCATGCCCAGGCGCTTGGGAACGTCAATGTAGATGAAGTCTCCGAGGAAAAGCATCAGCTGAGCCTGCAGCGATGGGAGGAGCTTTGCGAGATGACGAAGACCGGGGATGGAGAGAGGGTGATCAAGTGGGTTGTAAGGGAACCGCGGAAGGATGCACGACGTCGACAAGAAGGTGAACTTTCCATCATTGTAGGACGATAGCTGTCCAGGCTTGGGAGGCGACGTGAATTCGCCGGAGTGGTTGTTCGAAGTCCTCCATTCGTAGATGCGCTGCCGGGGGTGCCTCAGAGGCACATTCAGAACGGAGGTGAAATCAGTTGAGTTGTCTAGCAATGTGACCTCGCCGCCGGTGAGCCAAAGGGGGTTGTCGAAGGGAGCGACGGCATCCTTGACATGGATCTCGAGTGTGACAGGTAGTTTCGTCTGGTCGGGCTCTCTCACGAGGAACTTGGCCTCGTCGTGGGAGACGTAGCCGAGTCTGACGAAGGAAAGATCGTTGCTCGGATACTGATACCGCGCTCTGAAGAGGACATCACTAACCATTGTAGCCAGAGCCACGTTGATGAGGAACGTGATGAGCGACAGGATCGGGCTGTGGTGAATAGGTGCGCCGGTGAGAAACGACTTCAGGGGGTTGGCGGGCTTCTCCTCCAGTGTGATGGTCTCATCGATTTCAGCCTCAAGGATGACCTTGTCATCCTGACCAGCCTCGCCCTCGACGACGACAGGCTCCTCAACAATAACCTCTACTTGATCGTCAACGACCTGATAGTCTGGCCCTTTTAGGTAAGATAGTATGAAAGAAGGCACGTAAACAGCAAATAATGTGAGAATAGTCAGGGGGACGGCAGCCTGTGTCATGGTCAGCACTTCGTTCTCGTAGGGAGCCTTGTAGTACGCACAGGTCCGGCAACCCATCGAAAGAAGCTGTAGGAAAGAAGCCTCAGGACTATTGATGAGTACCTGGCTGTCTTCTCGTGGAGAGACATTGTGAGTGAGGGTTGTGATGCCCCACAGGAGCAGGCGAAGGGCGAAAGGTACAAAGCAAAGTGATAATGGGGATCAGACGGGTATCACGGGTAGAGGCAAGACAAGCGAGTTTGGGTGAAAAGTATCGGAAATGATTAGGAAAAGGCCGACATTGGCGCGTCGAGAAGCGTTTGGTGCCTATCGTGACATGTAGTAGGTAGGTAAAGCTAGCTGGCACAAAGCGAAGGCAGCACCCGAACTGGGGACCATAGGCGCTGTCGCGGTAATCTTGAGCGCCCCTGCAAGGCGAAGACGTCAGTGCTGATGAAGTCACCAAGACGCGCGCGGGTGGGTCCGGACGCGGTGTTGTGACGCGATAAGTGATCTGACTCCATCAGCCACACTTCAGGGGCTCTGGAGCCATCGTTTGTGGCTGAACGTTCAAGGGCCTACATCCCAAACGGGGCACTAATTATCCGGGCCGGGCCTCTCAATCGAGTCGCGACCGTGGCCGGTTCGTCACTCGAGCTTTTGGCGACAGCTTGCAGCTTGCCCCCCAAATTCGCACCAGCCGACGAGATCAACGCCCGGCACATGCCAGATCAGCCCCAACCACGCCCATCATGAGGTTGTCTGCTTTCGCCTGCGGGCTCTATGCCTGCCTCGTCTCCCAAGTTGCGGCCACTGCCCTCACCTACAAGCTCGGAGCCCACGAGAAGGCTTGCTTCTACACTGTCACCCAAAATGCGGGCGAGAAGATTGCTTTCTACTTCGCCGTGAGCATCGCCGCCATTCCTCCTCCTGGCTTCAGCCTGCTGACAGTATTGGACAGGTCCAATCTGGTGGTTCGTTCGATGTCGATTACGTTGTCACCGGCCCGAATCAGAAGATCATCCTCGATGGCGAGAAGGAGCGCCAGGGCGACTTTGTCTTCAACGCCAACGTCATTGGCGAGTACCAGTTCTGCTTCAACAACGAGATGAGCACCTTCGCCGACAAATTCGTCGACTTTGAGATTGCCGTACGAGAACACCTCATGCCCCGACGAATACGAACTACACTGACACTTGCCGCACTAGGTCGAGAACGAGAAGCGCGCCGAGCTGCCGTCGAAGCAGGGCACCTCCCCCGAACAGACCTCCGTCCTCGAAGAGACCGTCTTCAAGCTCTCCAGCAAGCTGTCGACCATCTCCAGAGGCCAGAAGTACTTCCGCACGCGCGAGAACCGCAACTTTGCCACCGTCAGGAGCACCGAGTCGAGGATCATCAACTTCAGCATGATCCAGTGCGCTCTCATTGTTCTCATGGGCGGCCTGCAGGTCTTCGTTGTCCGGTTCTTCTTCCAGGGTGCGCGCAAGGGCTACGTGTAAAGGGCGGGACTGGCCTTGTCATGACATATGTTCTGAATTCATCATGGTGGCGCTGGCAAACGGAGGAGTCGGCGGAGGCTCACACGTATCGTGGGCTCAAAAGCGATGTGCCGCACTCGATGGGCAACAACTTTGATGACTTGATTTATCACGGGTGGTCTGGAAGACCAGGCGGACTGCGCCGCGTCCATTGGGGAGGGGCTGCAGAGGCTGGTCTATATGAGCACATGAGCGTAGTTCAAAATCATATTCCCAACAATGACCCAACCGTCACATGAGCGAGCCACTCTGAAGTAAACAGAACTAAGCAAATTCGATGCCCGACTTTGCATCCCTTGCCTCTCAGGGGCCTCTCCTCAGGGAGCAGCCCAATACGTGGCACAGTGCTGCTCGAAAAAGTGTGCTGACTAAACGTCGCCCCCACCTATGTTCCCAGACATTCGGAAGCGTCCCGCCGAGCAGTTCCTTGCTGATAAGATCTTTTAGCGTCCTTCTTGTTTGATACGCCTAGGCATCACAATTGCCATTGCGACATTGAAGCGCACGTCTGCACATCGCCAATCTTGATATACATTCGCACAGCTGGAGCATCGTGCTTTGACTTGCGACCTTCTACAATCAATACTGCGCATCTTACATACCCCAGCGACATTGCTGGCTCCGGCGCAACATCAGCACAACCCTCAGCACTCCATCAGGTTCCCACCAAACCGCCACCATGGGCAAAGCAGAGGTCGGCTCGACAAAGCACCTGTCGAACAAGCTCAAGAGCAAGGGCCTCCAGCGTCTGCGCTGGTTCTGCCAGGTGTGCGAGAAGCAGTGTCGTGATGAGAACGGCTTCAAGCTGCACTCGCAGAGCGAGTCGCACGTGCGCCAGATGCTCGTCGTCGGCGAGGACCCCAAGAAGTTCATCAACGAGTACAGCAACCAGTTCCTGCGCGACTTCATCATGCTCCTGCGGACGGGCCACGGCGAGAAGCAGGTTCAGATCAACCGGTTCTACCAGGAGTACATTGCCAACAAGGAGCACGTCCACATGAACGCGACCAAGTGGCCCAGCCTCACCGAGTTTGCCAAGCACCTCGGCCGCGAGGGCATCTGTCGCGTGGAGGAGACGGACAAGGGGCTGCACATTTCGTGGATCGACAACTCGCCCGAAGCGCTGCGCAGGCAGGATGCGCTGAGGCGGAAGGAGGCGCAGGACAGGGGCAACGAAGAGGTGGAACAGATGATGATCCGCGAGCAGATCAAGAGGGCACAGAAAGCGGCGGGTGTCAAGAGTGACGATGAGGAGGACGAAGAGGACCGCCAGCTCAAGAGGCAGGAGGGTGAGAAGATTACACTCTCCTTTGGTGCGAAGCCGCCTGCCACGACCACAGCCAAGCCAGAGGTGACGCCGCCCAAGGACGAGACGTCAACGTCGCCGGCCCCGGCGCAAGAGACAAAGCCGGAGTCAAGTGCGGAGACAAAGGACACACCGGCCGCGAAGCCGTCACTCGGCGGCGTGTCGCTCAAGATGACGGCCAAGCCGCAGACCAAGAATGTCTTTGCGCAAGCCAAAAAGAATGCGTTAGGCAGCGGCAGCACCAAGAAGAATGCCTTCCAGCAGCCGAAGAAGATGAGCGAGGCGGAGAGGATCATGAAGGAAGACATGGAGAGGATGGACAGGAAACGCTCGAGGGACACGCCAGGGTCAGGACCGCCTTCGTGGAAGAAGCAAAGAACGAACAACTAGTGTTACACATCTGTCATCGAGTATTCGGCGTTATCAGTCTTTCGGTCACGGTCAGGGTTCATGGTCGGGTGCCACGGTAGATACCAATTGCAAGAAGTTATGAATTTCCGGAAGAGTCTGGGCCTCGACTCTTTCATATGCCCCCACCCCCATCAAACGCCGTCGCAGAAATCACACGTGTTGCGCCCAAGCTGTATCAAGCTCCATCGTCCTGCTCAGTACCGTCTCTCCTGTTTCTCTGTTAGAACGTGAACCTGGGCGCCGAGGCTGTCGCGAGAGCAAAGGCACAGGAACTTACGGGATGTACCGCCGGCCATACTCCTCCTCGAGCTGCATCCGAACCTCGTCCGGGAGCTGGCCCGATACCTTGGTCGCGTAAACACCCTTGACGTAGCCGTCCAGGCGCTGCCACTTTGCAACCCATGACCTCGAGGGATCCGCGAGCGTGATGAGGCCCTCAAAAACCTGCGACGTGCAGCTCTCGATTTGTTCCTGCGAGCCCGCGAGATGGAGGACCTCCTCGCAGTTCGGGCATCCTTCGTCGCGGAAGCGCTGTGGCAATCAGGTCAGCTCGCAATCGGTCAAGGGGGTGGAGCGGTCGGTGTCTGGCGGGTCGTACTGCTGTGGTCATGACGATGGAGCAGACCATGCAAGCGCGGAGGAAGCGGACACAACTTGGCTCTATATACCATGTAGCGAGGCCGCGAGAAGCCTCCAGCCCGGAAGCAGTGGTGCCGGGCGCGGTGTTGTTCGTGGCGCAATGCGGTGTTGGTCGTTTCTATGTAGCTGGATCGTCAAGAAATACATACAATAGGGTGATTGTTTGTCCTCGAGCTTTGATGGGAGATGCAACTAAAAGGGCGGCTGCCCCGCCATTACGCACTGTATACCAAACCCGACCAGACCTGCTCAATGCTAAAACTTCATCACCAAGTCACGACAAAACTCATAATTCAGGGTTCCGAGAAACTTGCAGAGCAGCACAAGAGCCGCAATGTCGACTCAGAGCAAGGGTCAGGATACCGCACCGGCCAGCACACAGCTGGCGCACCAAAATCACAAGTCGCACGAACTCTTGACATGCTCGATCAAAGCTCCATTATACTCCTATGCCCACTTGGAGGTGGCCAGAGATAAGCCGGGGACGACATCAACAGACGCGCTGCAATTTCACTCGTTTTGTACCTCTGCTTTGAGGCAGTTCCTGGGCGCCACGGGCGCAGCAATCTCGCTGGATATCCTCAAGGTCCAGGGCAACGAGTGCTGGCTGCGTGTCCCCCGCCAAGACCTAGGCGCCTTCGCGGCTGCCTTGACAGCATGGCCGGGGACGCGAGATGCTGGTGCTCATACGATCCTCAGAATACGACAATGCTCTGACTGGCTTGGCGCCATGGTCGGCAGAGATGGGCAAGAAAAGCTTTGGACGTCATGACAGAGTTCATGAACAAACGTTTGAGGCTGGTTCTGGTTTCGACTATAAGACAACGGCCAGAACTCCCCTTTTTGGATGAGCCGCCTATCTCACCTGGCCACGGCGGCAAAATATACGCCCCCCTGCGCGCTCCTAATCAGCGGCGATGCTCCGAAACCCAACTCCTACACATGACCGTCATCGCTAAGTCGAGCCTTCGTTCACATCAGAGACGACATAAGAGAGCTTTGGGCGTACGCCTGCAGACTGGTCAGCGAAGTGTCTCAAGAGGGCCGAGCACAGGAGGAACTTACCATCGGCTTGATGTCCGGGTGAGCGACTGCATCAAATTGTTCAAACTGCAGCTTGTAATCGGGTCCGATGTTGATGTAAGCACCCCGGTTCTCGGTTGAGTCGCAATACTTGGGCGCAGAAAAGACTAGAACGAAAAGGGTCAGTCAAACAAATAAAACAACACGAATACCACCGTTCTCTTACCTGTGATGCACCGTCCATCGTGCTGCACCTCGTAACCATCCATGCGGACTTCGTGACTGCGAATGACAGCCTCGAGACCGTTGTTCTCGCAGAACTTCTTGGTGATGTCAGGGCCGAACTGCATGCCGACACCGCGCTTGCTGGGACCACGACCAGGCTCCTCCTGGGGGTCGGTCCAGAGCATCTCCATCATGAGACCAGACTGGCCAGGCTGGCGCTGCTTGTGCCTGTCGAGAGCACGGATGTCATCGAGGGTGACCTTGTCGTCGGAGAACAGACCGCCGTGCAGAACGAGGTACTTGGAGCCGATGAGGGTCGCCAGCGGCAAAGCAGAGAAGCTCTCAGAGAAGAGCTTGAATATCCTGGGTGTTGTGAGTTTGCTGTCCTTCATTCGAAGCATGTGAGACGTACCTCTCGTTGTACTTTGCCTTGCACTCGCCCTCGAAACCGTACACGCGGTTCATGTCGTCGGTCTCGTGGTTACCGCGGTTCAGGAAGAAGGCCTTGGGGCGCAGCCACTTGTTGGCATACAGTAGCAGCGCGATCTCAGTGGACCATGATCCTCGGTCGACGAAGTCGCCGTTGAAGAGGTAGTAGTGCTTGTCATCCGGCTTGCCGTTCAGGCGGAACAGCTCCATCAGATCGAAATACTGGCCTGTACGCTCGTTAGTCGAGTGTCTCGAGCAGAGCCGTGGCCCGCTACGTACCGTGCGTGTCACCGCAAACAGTGAGTTTCACATCATCAGGAATCGTCATTTCCACCATGGTCGCCTCGTCGTACACAAGCTGCTTGACGGCCAGAAGAATCTGGTAGACGTACTTCTTGTGGATCAGCTTTCCAGTCTTGAACCTCTCCGTCATATCATCAATGAATTCTTGAGTCATCTCGTTGCCGAGCTTGACACCGTCATAGTCGGCATCGACCACCATGGAATCGACATCCAGACCCTCAGCAGCCGAGGGCTCGTCGCCGACCTCGATGGCGGCAAAGAAGTCAAGCTTTCGCACAATTTTCTTGCACTCGTCAAGCTTCAACTTGGCATCCTTGTTATTGGGGTCGATCCTGATGCATTCCCTAAAGTCCTTGAGAGCCTCCTTGGGCCGGATGATGGCGGTGTGGGCCAGGCCTCGTCGGAAGTGTGCCTTGACGAGCTTGGGGTTCAAGGCGAGGGCCTTGTCGCAGTCGGCGATGGCATAGCCGTAGGACTCGGCCTTGATGTGAGCCTGCGCAAGGAGAGAGAACATCAGTCACGCGAGCAGGAAAGAGGTGACAGGGCAACACACCTGCGCTCGGTTGGTGAAGTATGTGGGCTCCTTGTCGTTCAGGTCGATCGCCTTGGTGTAGAAGCTGATGGCAGTGGGCCAGTCGTGTTCGGCGAAGGCCTTGTTGCCCTGGTTCTTCAACGCCGTTGCTTGCTCCTCTGGGGTGGCCATGTCTGTGGTGTTTCGCCGCGTGGGGTACTGTGCTGCCAAGCTCGGCGCAAGGTTCGGAGAATCGAGGGGCGCTGAAATACTGCTGCACCGAGGAGAAACGCAGCGCTGCGAAGAAACTGAGCGAACTCTCGAGATTTTAAGGTTTTGAGTTTTGGGGTAAATCGGGGTAGAAAATGGCAAAACAAAATCGCCCTTCAGCAGGAGGCAATTCACGATGGTCGGAACCTTGCAAGGATCATGCTCGAAGGCATATGAATATTAGCTGGGAGGAACCCGCGCGCGGGTTGCCTCGATTGCATTAACGCTAGGAGGGGTCGTTTAGACACGGCCTATTTGCCTATCTCTTTGTCCGTTATCAGGCATCCTACCCTCACTGTGTTGGAGGTGGCGGGACTCTTCCGCACCTGCTCGTGATGGATGGCATTGTTACCTGCGGGAACTTCAGCATCCAGCCGATACGTCTTCCTCCATCCGAGAAACGTCACCCTCACATACACCAGCCATCTGCCCTTGCGCTGGCGGTAGCCGGAAGGCTAGGCCTCTCGTGTACAATCTCCTCTCGAGCCACCAGTGCAGCCTAACCCGGACGTCGACGCCTTGGCCATGGATCTTCCCCAAACGCAGGCGCTCGTGCGGAAGCGCGCTGACACCGATTTGATGCCGCCACCACCACCGACCAAGAAGATCAAGCGACCGAAGAAGGTCATAGACGAAGATGCATACACCGACGCTTTGTCCCAAATCATCGCACGTGATTTCTTTCCTGGTCTTCTCGAAACGGAAACGAAGCAAGAATACCTAGACGCTCTCGAATCCAAGGACGCGGCCTGGATATCCAACGCAGGTCAAAGGCTGCAGCGCGTCATGACTCCTGGACGCCACACCTCACAAACACCACGAAGGAACACAAGGCATACAAACAATGGGCGGACACCCTCGGCATATGGCGCCGACACGCCAATGTCGGCTTCGACCACTGCCAGGGAGGTGCCTGTGCCAGCGATCGACACCAACATGAGCCTGGCGAGCTTCCAGGCCAAATATACGAGCGAGGACAACGAGAGTTTCTACAAGCTTTTGGATAAGCAAAATCAGAAGAAGGCTGAGAAGTATGCTTGGATCTGGCGTGGGAACAAGTTGCCGTCGAAGCAAATGATCAAGCAAGCCGAGGTCGAAGCAAAGATCGCGACGACGAGAAGCCTAGTGGATGACGGCTTCAAGCGCGACAGGCTGGCCATTAAGGATAAAGACGACAGGCCTGGGCGTCCGGACAGTTGGAACGCGAATCCCCGAAATGGCCTAATGTTCGAGCCGGAGGGGGTAGATGACGAGTACGAAAGCCCTGCGCAAAAAGCGCAAGCTGAGTCAAGAATGGCGCCCAAGTCGATCAATTATTTGAACACGAGGGTACCGGAGCCTGCTGCCATCAAGCGACCCGCATCTCCGACCCTGTCTGCTGTAAGAGATGCCATCGCTGGACGGACCAGGGCCAATGACCAGAACTCCAGTATGGTGGGGGGTAGTGAGACGCCAAGAGTCAACGGATATGCATTTGTTGATGACGAGGATGATGAGCCGGAGACAGCGGCGCTTCCGGTCATTGATCTCGGACCAGGAGACGCCACTCCGAACCCTTTCAAACTCCAGGAACAGGGCAAGAGAGAGAGCCTTCACCACCGTCTCGTCGAGCGGGCAGCCCAATCGAAACGAGAAGCTGTGAAGAACGGGCTGTCTGGCAAAGCAGCTAAGACGCCTGTGCCCAAGTTCCCATCAAGCCCGCGCGTTACAGGAGGATTGACGCCCGCAGCGCAGAGGTTATGGAGCCAAATCGGAAGCCCCCGGCCTGGCAGCTCAGGTGGTTCCGGATCCAAGTCAACGCCCATGCGAGCTCGTGGCTCTTTATTGAAGAGCGTCTCAAGGAAAGAATAGAGGATATGACATGTATGAGATAAATTAGATACCCCAGGATCGATTCGAGCGTAGTCCCTTTTCTTCTGCATCCCATCCGCTCCTCGGTGTGAGATACTCAATTGTTACATATGCTGCTTAAAGCAATCTTCAACCTTGCTTCGATGACGACCTGTGAACTTGGTCCCAGCTCACCACAACATGCGGACCTCTTGACTTCATTTCACAAGGATATGAGTGTGATGCTAGCAAGACAGCATCTCCTCTCGCCTTTCAGATGAGATTTGTTAGATTCGCCATCGACCTGGCGTCGGTCCTGAATGCCTCACGGTCCGTGGCAACCAAGCATGTCGCGTTGCGAGGCTGGCAGCTGGAGTCGCTCAACAGGACATCCGGCATCGCCGCTTCACTGAAGAGTCGAACGATCCGTCCGTCAGCAGATCCACAGGAAGCGCCAACACCAGCGGCTTCAACTTCAGCCTCCCCAGTTGCGCCATTCGCAACACCCACAGAGAAGGGACCCATCGTTGCCAATGATGCTGCCTCATCGGTGCAAGCCGCACAGCAAGCCACGCATGTACCTCACAAATCTACAGCGTCTCCAACTCCGGGCTTGAATCACGCAGCAGGTCTACACCCAGACTCGACCTCCGTGCTCTCGCAATTGAGGCAACCTAAGCCCACGGCGTCTCAATGGTCTGATGCATCTCCCTTGGAATCAAGTCAGCGCACCCCGGACGCCGGCCTGGCGCAGGCCGTTTTCGAGTCTCAAAAGCCATCGTCAGCACCAAAGCGTCCTGACGAACCGGAGAATTTGCCCCCCGGAATCGACGTCAACATTTTCCACACGAAACGAGGATCCGGGTTGCTGGGAGATCTCGGAGCGAGGGAAAAGCCAAAGTCCACGGGGTTGCCCGAGTTTATGCAGCATTCTCATTCAGCATCGCCCAAGCCACATGCGAACCCTATTCCACTCACTCCGACGCCTCAGCCTTTACCCAACATCAAGGCAGAGCCAGTTGGCGGTCCGGCCAGCCAGGATGCCAACCAATCATTCCAAGCTGCTCTCGATAAAGTCGAAGCAACTAGCCCTGTGCCTCATCAAACGGATGTTGAGGCCACACGACCCGCCCATGTCCTGAGAGAATCCAAGGTACCTTCGTCGCGGATGGGTCGCCTCTGGAACTATGGTGGCCTCGCAGCAGGAATCATGGGCGGCGCCATCACAGAGGGCATCGGGCGGGCTTTCGGCGGAACCGGATCGGGGTCTGTGTTGTTGAGCGCCGGAAACATGGAGCGGTTGGTCTCTAAGCTCTCCAAGATGAGAGGCGCAGCACTGAAGCTAGGGCAGATGATGAGCTTCCAAGACTCCAAGTTGCTCCCGGCACCGTTGCAAGAGGTCCTCCAGAGAGTTCAAGATCGGGCAGACTACATGCCCGCATGGCAGCGGGACAAGGTCTTGGTCGCAAACCTGGGACCCCAATGGCGAGATCCCTTCGAGGAGTTTGAGGAGAAGCCAATAGCCGCAGCGTCCATTGGTCAGGTCCATCGAGCCATTTTGAAGGAAGGCAGCCGCCCGTTGCTGTCAAGATCCAATTCCCTGGAGTGGCCGATTCGATCAACTCAGCCTTGA